TTGGAACCCACACCTAGCCAAGCACGTAAAGAAACTAGAGAAAGTGCAAAGGTTTACAACAAGACTAGTTCCAGAGCTAAGAGGTATGTCCTATGAGGAGAGGTTAAGGGAAATCAACCTGACGACACTGGAGGACAGGAGAGATAGGGGAGACATGATAACGACATACAAAATACTGAGAGGAATTGACAAGGCGGACAAAGACAGGATGTTCCAGAGATTGGACACAGCAACATGGGGACACAGTTGGAAGCTGAAGACACAGATGAATCACAGGGATGTTAGGAAGTATTTCTTCAGCCACAGAGTAGTCAGGAAGTGGAATAGTTTGGGAAGCGATGTAGTGGAGGCAGGATCCATACATAGCTTTAAGCAGAGGTATGATAAAGCTCACGGTTCAGGGAGAGTGACCTAGTAGCGACCAGTGAAGAGGCGGGGCCAGGAGCTTGGACTCGACCCCTGCAACCTCAACTAGGTGAGTACAACTAGGTGAGTACACGTAACACACACGTACACACACGTACACACACGTACACACACACACACACACACACACACACACACACACACACACACACACACACACACACACACACACTATCTGTCAATTTTCATTCATGAATTATTCCATTTTTTGTTTTTTTAGAGTAATACAGTAGAGTGGACCCTCGGTTATCGGCTGTAATCCATTCTAGAAGATCAGCCTAAAACCGAAATGGCGTAAAACCAAAATAATATTTCCCATAAGAATTAATGTAAATACAATTAATCAGTTCCAAACACCCAAAAATATTAACCAAAAAATACATTTTTTAAATATTAATTATAGTTTTACACACACAAAACAATGAGAACTAAATAAAATAAATAAATGAACATTTAAATTGCTATTACATACCTTTATTGAAGACTCTTGTTGGCTTCTGGAAGACAGGGAGGAGGAGAGAGGGAGGAGTGATTATTCTTTGGAAGGGGAATCCCCTCCATAAGGCCTTCAGGTATCAAAGCCCTCTCTGGGAGGTCTGGTGCAGTGCTCCATCCTTGAGTGGAGGTGACCAGATTAAGTGGGTCATCGGGCTAATCCAGGGGGGGGGGAGTCATTGGTCTAATTCTTGGGGGGGGGTCATTGGTCTAATCCCGGGGGGGGACATGGACCTGCTCCGCATGAGTCAGTAGGCCTGTTGCAGTGTTTTTTCTTTCTTATGTTCTTATGTTACTTCCCTCCCTGCCTGCTACACTCCCTGCCTGCCTGCTATACTCCCTGCCTGCCTGCTACACTCCCTGCCTGCCTGCCTGCCTGCCTGCCTGCCTGCCTGCTACACTCCCTGCCTCCCTTCCACACTCCATTTCCCTACTACACTCCCTGCCTCCTTGCTACACTCCCTCCCTCCATGGTACACTCCCTGCCTCCCTGCTACACTCCCTGCCTCCCTCCCTGCCTCCCTCCCTGCTACACTCCCTGCTACACTCCCTCCCTCCATGCTACACTCTTTGCATGCCTGCTACACTCCCTGCCTCCCTGCTACACTCCCTCCCTCCAAGCTACACTCCCTGCCTGCCTGCCTCCCTGCTACACTCCCTGCCTCCCTGCTACACTCCCTCCCTCCATGCTACACTCCCTCCCTCCATACTACACTCCCTGCCTCCTTGCTACACTCCCTCCCTCCATGGTACACTCCCTGCCTCCCTGTTACACTCCCTGCCTCCCTGTTACACTCCCTCCCTCCATGCTACACTCCCTCCCTCCATGCTACACTCCCTGTCTGCCTGCTACATTCCCTGCCTCCCTCCCTGCTACACTCCCTGCCTCCCTCCCTGCTACACTCCCTCCCTCCATGCTACACTCTTTGCATGCCTGCTACACTCCCTGCCTCCCTGCTACACTCCTGCCTCCCTGCTACACTCCCTCCCATGCTACATTCCCTGCCTCCCTCCATGCTGCACTCCCTGCCTCCCTGCTACACTTCCTCCTTCCATGCTACACTCCCTGCCTCCCTGCTACACTCCCTGCCTCCCTGCTACACTCCCTGCCTTCCTTCCACACCATATGTGTAAAGAACCTGGGATAACCCCAAAAAGTCAGACAGTGATTTATTTCCATTGGGGTCCTGCCTCCCCGCTACACTCCCTGCCTGCCTGCTACACTCCCTGCCTCCCCCCTACACTCCCTGCCTGCATGCTACACTCCCTGCCTCCCCCCTACACTCCCTGCCTGCATGCTACACTCCCTGCCTCCCCCCTACACTCCCTGCCTGCCTGCCTGGCCCGGTGGCCTGGTGGCTAAAGCTCCCGCTTCACACACGGAGGGTCCGGGTTCGATTCCCGGCGGGTGGAAACATTCGACACGTTTCCTTACACCTGTTGTCCTGTTCACCTAGCAGCAAATAGGTACCTGGGTGTTAGTCGACTGGTGTGGGTCGCATCCTGGGGGACAAGATTAAGGACCCCAATGGAAATAAGTTAGACAGTCCTCGATGACGCACTGACTTTCTTGGGTTATCCTGGGTGGCTAACCCTCCGGGGTTAAAAATCCGAACGAAATCTTATCTTATCTCTTATCTCTTACACTCCCTGCCTCCCCCCTACACTCCCTGCCTACATGCTACACTCCCTGCCTCCCCCTACACTCCCTGCCTGCCTGCTACACTCCCTGCCTGCCTGCTACACTCCCTGCCTTCTCCCTGCCTGCCTGCTACACTCCCTGCCTCCCTGCTACACTCCCTGCCTCCCTGCTACACTCCCTGCCTCCCCTACACTCCCTGCCTCCCTTCTACACTCCCTGCCTCCCTGCTACACTCCCCTCCCTGCTACACTCCCTTCCTCCCTGCTACACTCCCTGCTTCCCCCTACACTCCCTGCCTCCCTGCTACACTCCCTGCCTCCCTGCTACACTTCCTGCCTCCCCCCTACACTCCCTGCCTCCCCCTACACTCCCTGCTACACTCCCTGCCTCCCCCCTACACTCCCTGCTACACTCCCTGCCTCCCCCCTACACTCCCTGCCTCCCCCCTACACTCCCTGCCTCCCCCTACACTCCCTGCCTCCCCCCTACACTCCCTGCCTCCCTGCTACACTCCCTGCCTCCCTGCTACACTCCCTGCCTCCCTGCTACACTCCCTGCCTCCCCCCTACACTCCCTGCCTCCCCCCTACACTCCCTGCCTCCCCCCTACACTCCCTGCCTCCCCCTACACTCCCTGCCTCCCCCTACACTCCCTGCCTCTCTGCTATACTCCCTGCCTCCCTGCTGTACTCCCTGCCTCCCCCTACACTCCCTGCTACACTCCCTGCCTCCCTGCTACACTCCCTGCCTCCCTGCTACATTCCCTGCCCCCTGCTACACTCCCTGCCTCCCTGCTAAACTCCCTGCCTCCCCCTACACTCCCTGCCTCCCTGCTACACTCCCTGCCTCCCTGCTAAACTCCCTTTTGCAACATTAGCTTCCTTGACTTCTACTTTCTTTGCCAGGATAAAGTGAGTGTTGATTTGGATTTCCCATACTTCCTGGCAAGTTCTAGCACTCATACACCACTCTCATACTTTTCAACAACTTCTTTCTTAAATTCCATCGTGTTTCTCACTTTCTTTACCAAAGGAACTCTACTAGGAACTTTCTTTGGGCCCATGGTTGCTTATTTCGCAGTTGCACTCGATCAATAACCACAAAAAACAATGGATTATAGAGAAATGTTTGGATGAATGAGCAGAAGTTTCCTCACTCACCCAGACACAACCAGACTGACTCACAAATGCACCAGCAGTGGGCGGGTGGACGCGTCCAATACCGCCGATAAGTGAAATAACAGCCGATAACCAGAATAAAATTTTGGCAAAAAAAACGGGCGACAACTGAGTTGACTGATATCCGGAACAGCCGATAACCAAGGGTCCACTGTACTGTTATACCTTCAAAATATACAATATACTACTGTTATCAAAAAGTCTTGAATACAGTATAGTATACTAAATAACTATGTATCAAAAAAAGGAACTGTTTACTGCAGTATTTCAGAAACACAAGCAAGTGCCAATTTTGAAGCAAGGGAACTTCTTTGCTTTTTTCCACATAAAATATTTTTCTCTTACACAATGAATGAAAACAACTCACTTTCATCTACAATACAGGGACACCTTTTAAGTATAAAAATCTACTGACTGTTCATGGCCATTAAGACCCCTCTTGTAATCTCGGAATTAAAATAAACTCAGTGTGCCGTATTCAGGTATACCTCACTAATATGGTGCTTCGTTAATATGGCACTTTTCAGTTATATTAATGTTTATTATTTTTGGTGGTGACGTACACATCAGCTGACTAATACCATTTTGTTACCCCTCAATCAGTCTATTAGCAGTATTTTAGCATTTTTTTTATTTAGTATTTTTACTTTTGCATCATTGTTTTAGGCCTAGTGCTATTGCACACTTAATAAATGATATTGTAAACATGTTCTTAGGCTTTTATATGCAGTGGCAAGTGAAAAAAAGTTGTGATTAGCTTTAAGGCAATAAATGCTCTATGGTGGTGGTCTGGAACTTAACCTACTGTATTAGCGAGGTATGCCTGTACAGTACACTGATATATTCTGAGCACAACTCCTCCCAACATATATAATAAATTTCTTAAGAAAAGACATAAATGTGTGTAGACATCTTTTTCACTTATGTCCAGCTAAGTAGAATGCTGCATTCCTTCACTTCCTCAGTATGTAGTTCAAGTAGCAAGAAGTGTCACTGACGCTAACTGAAATACAGCACTTTACTGAGTAAGTGCTTCAACTTTTTTCCTCCCATGTCACATGTCTGACCAACTATTCAAAGAATATTGAAATAAATCATTCATATCTTACTAGGTTCAGAACTCTGAAGTACTTAAATAGTTGACAAGCAAACAAATACAGTAGCTGACTGTATATTTATCATGCATTAAATGCTGTATTTTCTTGCAGAAATATTTTCTTCCATGCACTACTCAACAAACAACAAAGTCTCTGAACTCACCTAACTCTGCAGCACCATCCATTAACCTTGCCTTTGAAGTGGAACTGACGAAGTCTTGGAATGCAACACGGAACTGGTAGGGTGTAGACGGCTGGAGGTCATTGAGGTATAAGATAATTTCATTAGATTTCTCCAGTTTTGCATCACTTACAGAGATATTTCTCTCTGACCATGTGAGGGAGTCTGGACTGTAGAGTATCATGAAATGCTGGCTTTCAGATGAATGGACTTGATTCATAACAGAGTCTGACACTGCTACTTTAATCATGACTGTAGTAGCATTAATGGCCATCACTTCCAAGATATTTAGGTCATGTGTCCCAAGATCTTCAGCCCTGTTTTTCTTCTTAAGTACACCGAAGTGCGTATTGTTATGTAAATCAAGCATTCCATCATCATTCATGTGAGGACTATGAGTTACATTATCTTCAGTTGTCTGAGTGTTGTTCTGAACTTCATCCATACCACTGTCAAGAGTGTGGTTATGCTCTTCACCTACTTCTTGGTCATGAGGGTGAATATGGATTACACCTTCCTCATGCATGTGAGTATGATTATGGCTTTTATTCATAGTAAGTTCACGAATGTCAGTTTCATTCATGTCATCGAGAGAATCGCTGTTTATCATACTATCTTCGTGAGTGTGGTCATTCATGTGTGTATTATTTGTACTGTTATCATGAGAGTGATTCATAATATGATTAAGAGCATGGCTGTGTGTTGTTCCATCTTCATGTGTGTGTTCATGAAGTTGGGTGATATTTGTGCTATTATCATGAGGGTTATCTATGCCATGACTAAGAGGATGGCTGTGTGTTACACCATCTTCATGTTCATGTTCATTATTATGCCAATTATTCATGTCATGTGAGTGATCATGGAAATTATCCATATTGTGTTCATGTGGGTGAATATGAGTCACACCATTTTCATGAGAATGAGTATGGTTGTGTGTTCCATTGAAAATATCATGCTGGAAAATTTGGTCTTCAATAATGTCTTGTCCTTTGGTTTTGTTAAGAACTTCTTCATTCTGATGAGAATGGGTGTGATTGCTGGTTCCCTCTTTATGATGTTCGTGGGGGTGACTGTGTGTTGTCCCATCCTCATGGGTGTGCTCGTTGGTATTGGTTTCATTCATGTTATGAGGGAAGTGAATTTGTAAAAGCATTTCATCCTCAGGCACTGAAGTAGTTGGTGTATCATCTTCAACTGTCAGTGTATCCATCACACTTGACATTTCCTGCATATCAGTTATATTTTTCATCATGACCTCCTTCTCTTCTGTAATATTCATTATGCCTTTCATCATCATCATCTTCTCTGCATCTGTCATATTCATCATTTCCTTCATCATCATATCCTTTTCTATTTCAGTCATGTTCTTCATTATTTCTTTTTCTAATTCTAGTGAGAGAGAGAGAGAGAGAGAGAGAGAGAGAGAGATTAAAATTACATACAATATCTAAATACATGTATTTATATTATGGTTTATGGTTTTTAATGATTATATCAATATCAATGATGAGATATGGCCAGACTGTGGGATCAGCCTCCAGAGAACTGATGGTCCTCTACTTGAACCCATGCCCTTGCTTTATTCTTCCTTTTATTTCATCCCATGCAGTGGGGGCAGTGGAGATATCATGTTGGAGGGAAATGTGTGGTGTGAATATTATGCAGAAAATTCAGAGGATGAGGTGTGGATTTACCAGAAGTATTTTTCAGAAGGCTGAGGTGGTGCTATTGAGGTGGATGGACATTTAGAGCTGATGGAGAAAAACAGGATAACTATGAGGTATATAAATCTGAGGCAGAGGAAGCTGGGGTTGGGGTCATCCTTGGAAAGGTTGGAAGGGAGGGAAGAGGTAAAGGAGGTTTTCAGTGCTGGGGCTTTGATATCCAACAGGAATGTGCAAGCGTATTAGATAGGAGCGAGTGGAGGCAATGGTTTTACTAACTTGACATGCTGTTAAGAGTGTGAGCAAGGTAACATTTACGAAGGAATTCAGGGAAATTGGTAAGCCAGACTCGAGTCCTGGAGGTTGGAAGAACAATGCCTGCACTCTAAAGGAGGAGTGGGGATGTTGTGATTTGGAGGATCATCTGAACTATGATGTCAGTGCCCTTTTGGTAAGACATGATTGAATGAGTGACAGTGAAAGCATTTTCCTCTGTCAGATCGCCTTACCATGGTGGGAGGCGGCCAGTGTTAAATAAATCAATATCAATACGAAACCTAATACTGTACATCAATCATTAACCACCAAGGCAAGCAATCCAAAAAATTACTCCCAGGTGTTTTTCCAAAAGTGCATAAACATCACAACCCAAAGGAACTTCTGACCTCTAACATCCTAACCCATTTTGCAAAGTACAGGCACTGTATTTTTGAATCCCTTCACAGACATTATCATACAATCCAATAGCATATTAAACCCCAAAAATGCTTGCCTTCACTCATTTGATCTAACAACTTACATCTGCATGCTGGGTGCTCAATGCCATACCTCTATTCTATCCATCCCAGACTGATGCACCCTCTCAATCAACCTCTTCCTCCATCATTTCTAAATAACCAAACTACTTCAACAGCCTTTCTTCAGCTCTCTGAATTATACCATCACTCCATCTTCTAATTTCACTCCTTTTTTCATGGAAAATATTTCAACCATTCAGTGATCTCAAGAAATTTCTACTGCCTCCAACCTCCTCACTACAAAATGGAAAGACCGTTTCAAACCCACACACAAGGTATCAGAACTACTACATTAGAAACTTTTCAGTTTTACATCCACTGGACTTTTCAGTTTTACATCCACTGGCAAACTTCTTCCTCAAGAGACTCTTCAATACTTCTGTCGCTTTCTTCCCTTCAACCAGCATGTAATATTCCTAATCCTTCACTCCTAGGTACAGTACTGTATCCATTTTTTTTTTTCAACAAGTCGGCCGTCTCCCACCGAGGCAGGGTGACCCAAAAAAGAAAGAAAATCTCCAAAAAGAAAATACTTTCATCATCATTCAACACTTTCACCATACTCACACATTATCACTGTTTTTGCAGAGGTGCTCGGAATACAACAGTTTAGAAGCATACACATATAAAGATACATAACATATCCCTCCAAACTGCCAATATCCCAAACCCCTCCTTTAAAGTGCAGGCATTGTACTTCCCATTTCCAGGACTCAAGTCCGACTATATGAAAATAACCGGTTTCCCTGAATCCCTTCACTAAATATTACCCGGCTCACACTCCAACAGATCGTCAGGTCCCAAGTACCATTCGTCTCCATTCACTCCTATCTAACACGCTCATGCACGCTTGCTGGAAGTCCAAGCCCCTTGCCCACAAAACCTCCTTTACCCCCCTCTCTCCAACCCTTTCGAGGACGACCCCTACCCCGCCTTCCTTCCCCTATAGATTTATATGCTTTCCATGTCATTCTACTTTGATCCATTCTCTCTAAATGACCATACCACCTCAACAACCCCTCTTCTGCCCTCTGACTAATACTTTTATTAACTCCACACCTTTTCCTAATTTCCACACTCCGAATTTCTGCATAATATTTACACCACACATTGCCCTTAAACAGGACATCTCCACTGCCTCCAACCATCTCCTCGCTGCTGCATTTACCACCCAAGCTTCACACCATATAAGAGTGTTGGTACTACTATACTTTCATACATTCCCTTCCTTGCCTCCATAGATAACGTTTTTTGACTCCACATATACCTCAACGCACCACTCACCTTTTTTCCCTCATCAATTCTATGATTAACCTCATCCTTCATAAATCCATCCGCCGACACGTCAACTCCCAAGTATCTGAAAACATTCACTTCTTCCATACTCCTCCTCCCCAATTTGATATCCAATTTTTCTTTATCTAAATCATTTGATACCCTCATCACCTTACTCTTTTCTATGTTCACTTTCAACTTTCTACCTTTACACACATTCCCAAACTCATCCACTAACCTTTGCAATTTTTCTTTAGAATCTCCCATAAGCACAGTATCATCAGCAAAAAGTAACTGTGTCAATTCCCATTTTGAATTTGATTCCCCAAAATTTAATCCCACCCCTCTCCCGAACACCCTAGCATTTACTTCCTTTACAACCCCATCTATAAATATATTAACCCTTTGAGGGTTTTGGTCATACTAGTACGTTTTACGCGTAGGGGTTTTTGACGTACTAGTACTCATAAATTCTAGCGGCCTCAAATCTAGTGGGAGAAAGCTGGTAGGCCTTCATATGAAAGAATGGGTCTATGTGGTCAGTGTGCACAGTCTAAAAAAAATCCTACAGCACACAGTGCATAATGAGAAAAAAAAAAACTTTGACCATTTTTTTTTAATAAATCAGCGACTTTGCAGTGTATTTTCGTATGGTATTTATTGTTGTATTCTAGTTTTCTTGGTCTCATTTTATAGAATGGAAGACATATTACAGAAATTGAGGTGATTTTGACTGGTTTTACAATGAGAGGTGCCTTGAAATTGAGCTCAAAGTAGCAGAAATGTTCGATTTTTACCAAACTTCAAAAGTAAACAAATCGTGCCAAGCGTGCAATACACGTCAACTGGTGAGTCTAATATTCTTTTACAAGTGCACCAATAATATTTATACCATTTTTTTACACTAATGCAGTAGTCTGCATAACAGTAAATCTTATATTTTTTGTGAGAATAAAAATTCAAAGTGGAAAGCAAAAGAATATAAGAGGGGCCTTGAGACGTGACTAATGACTAGAGGAAATGTCATTTTAGTGCCAGGAATGTCTTTCTTGTTTATTCTGGACCCTATTCGGAAATTGGCATCTTTTGAAATTTGTGTGAAATTGGCAAAATTGCTAAATTCTGACCACTGTACTGGATAGTTGAATTTATAAATGGGTGGTTTCTTGCACCCATTCGATAGAAAAAATGGAGTTCTAGCGAGATATTCATGTTTTTTGTCGACTAGTACAGTGAAATTGGCCGAAAATGGGGCTCAAAGTGGGCAAAATCGCCGATGCGTAAACATCGCCGAGACCGCTAACTTTGCGAGAGCATAATTCCGTAAGTTTTCTATCAAATTTCAAACTTTTGGTGTCTTTATGATCGGGAAAAGATTCTCTATCTTTTCATAAGAGAAAATAATTTTTTTTTTTTTTAAATTTGGCCGACCCTGAGAACGAGTTTCGGAGAGGGCCTGTCGACCCTCAAAGGGTTAAACAACCATGGTGACATTACACATCCCTGTCTAAGACCTACTTTTACCGGGAAGTAGTCTCCCTCTCTTCTACACACCCTAACCTGAGCCTCACTATCCTCATAAAAACTCTTTACAGCATTTAATAACTTACCACCTATTCCATATACTTGCAACATCTGCCACATTGCTCCTCTATCCACTCTATCATATGCCTTTTCTAAATCCATAAATGCAATAAAAACTTCCCTACCCTTATCTAAATACTGTTCACATATATGCTTCAATGTAAACACTTGATCTACACATCCCCTACCCACTCTGAAACCTCCTTGCTCATCTGCAATCCTACATTCTGTCTTACCTCTAATTCTTTCAATTACAACACTACCGTACACTTTTCCTGGTATACTCAGTAAACTTATTCCTCTATAATTTTTAGTCTCTTTTGTCCCCTTTCCCTTTATATAAAGGGACTATACATGCTCTCCGCCAATCCCTAGGTACCTTCCCCTCTTTCATACATTTATTAAACAAAAGTACCAACCACTCCAACACTATATCCCCCCCTGCTTTTAACATTTCTGTCATGATCCCATCAGTTCCAGCTGCTTTACCCCCTTTCATTCTACGTAATGCCTCACGTACCTCCCCCACACTTACATTCTGCTCTTCTTCACTCCTAAAAGATGGTATACCTCCCTGACCAGTGCATGAAATTACTGCCTCTCTTTCTTCCTTAACATTTAAAAGTTCCTCAAAATATTCTCGCCATCTACCTAATACCTCCATCTCCCCATCTACTAACTCCCCTACTCTGTTTTTAACTGACAAATCCATACTTTCCCTAGGCTTTCTTAACTTGTTTAACTCCAAATTTTTTTCTTATTTTCATTAAAATTTCTTGACAGTGCCTCTCCCACTCTATCATCTGCTCTCCTTTTGCACTCTCTCACCACTCTCTTCACCTTTCTTTTACTCTCCATATACTCTGCTCTTCTTATAACACTTCTGCTTTGTAAAAACCTCTCATAAGCTACCTTTTTCTCTTTTATCACACCCTTTACTTCATCATTCCACCAATCACTCCTCTTTCCTCCTGCCCCCACCCTCCTATAACCACAAACTTCTGCCCCACATTCTAATACTGCATTTTTAGAACTATTCCAACCCTCTTCAACCCCCCCACTACTCATCTTTGCACTAGCCCACCTTTCTGACAATAGTCGCTTACATCTCACCCGAACTTCCTCCTCCCTTAGTTTATACACTTTCACCTCCCTCTTACTTGTTGTTGCTACCTTCCTCTTTTCCCATCTACCTCTTACTCTAATTGTAGCTACAACTAAATAATGATTCGATATATCAGTTGCCCCTCTATAAACATGTACATCCTGGAGCCTACCCATCAACCTTTTATCCACCAATACATAATCTAATAAACTACTTTCATTACGTGCTACATCATACCTTGTATATTTATTTATCCTTTTTTTCATAAAATATGTATTACTTATTACCAAATCTCTTTCTACACATAGCTCAATTAAAGGCTCCCCATTTACATTTACCCCTGGCACCCCAAATTTACCTACTACTCCCTCCATAACATTTTTACCCACTTTAGCATTAAAAATCCCCAACCCCATTACTCCTCACACTTGATTCAAAACCCCCCACGCAATTCACTCAACATTTCCCAAAATCTCTCTCTCTCCTCTACACTTCTCTCTTCTCCAGGTGCATCCCACGCTTATTATAACCCACTTTTCAACCAATCTTTTTTTTCCCTCCACATATCCTTGAATTAATACATTTATAGTCCCTCTTTTCCTGCCATAGCTTATCCTTCAACATTATTCTACTCCTTCTTTAGCTCTAACTCTATTTGAAACCTCTGACCTAATCCCATTTATTCCTCTCCATTGAAACTCTCCCACCCCCTTCAGCTTTGTTTCACTTAAAGCCAGGAATCCAGCTTCTTCTCATTCATAACATCCACTATCATCTCTTTCTTATCATTTGCACAACATCCATGCACATTCAACTTCCACTTTGACAATTTTCTTCTTCTTATTCTTTTTAGTGATCTTTACAGGAAAAGGGGTTACTAGCCCATTGTTCCCGGCATTTTAGTTGACTTTTACAACACGCATGGCTTACAGGAGGAAAGATTCTTATTCCACTTCCCCATGGATATAAAAGGAAAAGTAATAAACAAGAACTATTAAGATAAAATCAAAGAAAACTCAGATGAGTGTGTATAAATAAATGTGTACATGTATGTGTAGTGTGACCTAAGTGTAAGTAGAAGTAGCAAGACATACCTGTAATCTGTTTTTGACCTCTAATCTTTCACTCCCTGTATTTCTACTATTCTCATCAGCTTGTGCTTTTCCATATTCATTTGCAAACTGAAACACCCTTCTGAATTCCTCTACCAATTTCTGCAGCTTCTCTTCTAAATCTTCCAAAAGGCACATCATCATTTACAAACGAATGTTTGAATTTCCAATCACTTACCCAAGAACTCATAACATTCACTTCTTTTATTACCATACCTATAAATACATTAAACTACCATGGTACACATGCATCACACATCCTTACTGAGATTTCACTTTAACTTGAAATCATTTCCCTTCATTTTCTACCCATTCTAATCTGTACTACACTCTCCTCATAAAAGCACTCCATAGCTTTCAATAACAGCATATCGCCAAAAACCCATCACAATTATTAAACCAATGCTAAAACTCTTCTTGGAGAGGCGCAGCAGAATACACACACATTTTCCACAATTACTTAGGAGCAATTACCAACTGCTTGACTTGACAAAGACCAAACTGTGAATAATGGACAGAGAATCAAGCCTCTACAACTCCACCACTTATTTACCCATATGGATTTATCTTTTCATGCAAATACAACCATCTTTGTGATTCTTGTTTGTACCTGTGATATTAGCCTTCATGACATCAGGAGTTTCCTCATCGCACACAGTGATGGAACAGCAGGAATCCAGTGGGTCAGGGAGAGTTTCACAACGCTTAGGAGTTGCAGATACAACCTTCAAGGGAGGACACCTAAAATACATAAGCTAAATTAGAGTTATGTATGGTAAAATATGAAGCATGTAAAAATATAATAATGAGTAATATTCAGTAGTAGGTAGGGAAACAGCAACCGCCCAGGAAGGTACTACTGTCCTGCCAAGTGAGTGTAAAACGAAAAGCCTTTAATTGTTTTACATAATGGTAGGATTGCTGGTGTCCTTTTTTCTGTCTCATGAACATGCAAGATTTCAGGTATGTCTTGCTACTTCTACTTACACTTAGGTCACACTACACATACATGTACAAGCACATATATACACACCCCTCTGGGTTTTCTTCTATTTTCTTTCTAGTTCTTATTCTTGTTTATTTCCTCTTATCTCCATGGGGAAGTGGAACAGAATTCTTCCTCCGTAAGCCATGCGTGTTGTAAGAGACGACTAAAATGCTGGGAGCAAGGAGCTAGTAACCTCTTCTCCTGTATATATTACTAAATGTAAAAGGAGAAACTTTCGTTTTTCCTTTTGGGCCACCCCGCCTCGGTGGGATACGGCCGGTGTGTTAAAAGAAAGAAGTTTAAATAACCTGTGAAGAGGGCTGGTGACAGGATTTCAGAGACTGAGGATGATCAATCATGAATGTAAGTATTACCCTAGACTGATAAGGCCTTTATGTAAAAAGCTACCCCACACTAGAACATGTAGTGAGAACCTTACTACCCCACACTAGAACATGTAGTGAGAACCTTACTATCAAAGTAATAAGGAACATAACACAGTGTTCCTTCTGTCTTATTTTCTTCTTTCTTTCTTTCAACACACCGGCCGTATCCCACTGAGGAGGGGTGGCCCAAAAGGAAAAACGAAAGTTTCTCCTTTTACATTTAGTAATATATACAGGAGACGGGGTTACTAGCCCCTTGCTCCTGGCATTTTGGTTGCCTCTTACAACACGCATGGTTTACGGAGGAAGAATTCTGTTCCACTTCCCCATGGAGGTAAGAGGAAAAGAACAAGAACTAGAAAGAAAATAGAAGAAAACCCAGTGGGGTGTGTATATATATGCTTGTACATGTATGTGTAGTGTGACCTAAGTGTAAGTAGAAGTAGCAAGATGTACCTGAAATCTTGCATGTGTATGAGACAGAAAAAAAAAAGACACCAGCAATCCTACCATCGTGTAAAACAATTACAGGCTTCCGTTTTACACTCACTTGGCAGAACGGTAGTACCTCCCTGGGTGGTTGCTGTCTACCAACGTACTACGTAGAATTTAATGAAATATTAAAAAATCAATTGAACCTGTGATATCTTGCTACAGCATTGTAGATTCAACATTTCTTGATGTATGCTTAACCAAAAATATATACAAGATGATCATATACAAAACAAAAATTAATTTGGTCCATAATCAGCCAAGAAAAACCAACATACAAAATTAAGTCATACATCATCAGGTCAGGTGTTCATAAAACCACCAGTAAGCTTACTGAGCTATTATATCTTATGTACTTTATATCATTTCTAGTAATTCTGAATTCTTTCTAAGACATTTTGTAGCCTGACATCTAGTGTTGTATACTATAAAGAAGCTGTTCTTAAATTATATTAAACTATGCAAATTCTTAATTATTTCTTCTAAAACAGAATCTGGAAAAATTCATCAATGAAATGAAAAGTGTCACTGCAAGGTTAACACCAATGACATACTAAAAATATGTATGCTGTCAGTGCTTATAATGTACAGTAGTACAAAAGAGATCAGGGATCATTTAACTCCCTTTATTAAAAATACTGTACAGGTACTTATTTTATGTCTCAAAGTTACAAACATATCTTAACTGGCTCTGCTCAACAAACCTTGGGAAGCATGAGACATCGCCAAATCCCATACATATGCACTGAGTTTCACAACCTTTGTAAAATTTCTCATTTTTGGCATAGGTAACATTGCCATCTGTACAGCCATCAGAGGATAATGATGGATTCCGAGTGGCATCAATGGCAGCATCAGAAGTTGAATTACAAGTACGCAGTTTACAGCAGGGATCTTCTGGGTCTGGAAGATACTTGCATCCAGACTCTGGCTTTGAGACATTCTCACGTGGAAACTCACACCGTGGCTGGAAAATGGAGTAGGTGAAGGTGAAAGTGGCTTTGAAAATGATGCTGTAGTTATTTTTCAGAGCGCTATGTGTATCTATTAAGTTTATGAAAGAGTTTTCAATGAAGCCGAAGGTTTCTAGTAATTTTAGAAGCAGAAGTTCTTACCATTCTCTAAAAACTCAAATTTACACAACCCTAGAAAACAACGAATATCCAACAGGCCCTTTTATTGCTCAAAGAAAAGTTTTTGATACAGTAGACAATAACGTCTCATTATGGAATAGGAGGCCGTACCTTCTCCGGAAGTCCAACCTCAATAAACGACTCCAACATGTGACTTTTATATAAAGGACACCACTTCATCTACTCAATCCATCAACATAGATGCAACAAGGCAGCATCCTAGGATCACTTATTTCTCATTTACATCACTCAATGACCTACCAAATACATCTTAACAACTTAAGCCAGGTTTATTCATGGGTGACACTTTATTTGTCATCTCCAGCCCAGATCTGGATGACCTCTAAAGCATAATCAATGTTGAACTAAGAAAAAAAAGTACTGGTTTGGATGGCAAGAAATGAACACTCAATATTGCTAAGACCTACTATATGTATAATGTTTGAGAATAAAGCTAAAAATATTTAACCAAATAAAGAATAATAATACACATAAAGGATAAATTTAGGAAAAAGTTCTTGGGTATTCACCTGAACAGCAAATTTAAATTTAACAAACACATCTGACACATCAAAGAAAGTTTCCAAATTATTATAATCAAAAAGAAGCGCTAAGCCACAAGGACTATACAGCAAAAGTTTCCAAAACATAGGACATTCTTCCCACACCATGCTGTGTTTCACAACCAACATTACGTGTTCTGAACTACTTTTTAATTTATGTTTACCTCACCTATGTTCATGGGTATCTACTACAGCAAATTATTTAAAAATAACCATACCCAACAAAAATCTGTTAATAAAACAATCACTCAATCTAATTCCTGATAATATGCCACTATTCAGAGATCTGAACCTGTTAATAAACAAAGTATCCACAAATACTACTATACTCAATATAAATACATTTTAACTCTAAGCTAAAACAATTCATGGTGAGCTGCAACTGATTACACAGGCATAATACTGGAAATAAATATCTCTTTGGCATTCTAAGAGCATAATACAATATGAATATTATTATATTCATAACCAAGTGCTAAACCCATCAATACGAATAAACACTCCATGCCTATACAGGTTTACACGGGTTTAGTGCTTTGTTTTGCATATGTCAGATTTGACTTTTAGAGCTGGGAAGTGTAGTGCATATATTCTGAAGGAGAGATGGGGATGTTGCAGTTGGAGGGTAATCTGAACTTTTATGTCATCACACCTCTGGTAAGAAAGCAAATGAATGATGGTTAATGTTTTTTTTTTTGGGGGGGGAGGGGATTCACCCTGCCTTGATGGGAGATGGCTGCAAGGAAAAAAAAAAAAAAAAAAGACATGGATTTATTTTCATTTTTTAGGGTATTCACTACTTGTTTGTCAACTTTTTTCTTCATTTTTATTTCCTTACCTGACATTCTATCTCACTGTTGTTGTTGCAAGAGCAGCGAAATTCACACTCATCATAGAAAACATCACCTGGTCCATAAGTGCTGTTCTTGAAGGTGCAGCTTCTCTCCTTGTGTCCAGCAGAGGGATCTGTTTGAATGACAGTGATCATAAAATAAATTTTAAGAACACATTACACATAAAATACATTTTTACTTTAAATTTTCAGCATATTTGATAAAAAAAAACACAAAAACTATGGATGTGATCATAAAGTTTACTAAATATGTCAACAGATATATAACATTATGGACAACTATAGGAACAGGTGAAAAATTCTAGTGTATTTAAGTAAGTTTTTAAAATGTTTCTGATAAAGCAAGAAAACTTAATATACCCACCAGGCAAACATCCAGTAACTAAGTCAGAAGCATCACCAGTGAAACCAACAAGGCAACGGCAGTATCCAAGTGTCAAGTCACTATCAACATCACTAAGACTGAGGTCCTTAGATGCCATGATGCCAGAGATACACTCAGCATTGGGGCCACACACAACATTTGTGCACTGATTATAGGCTATAGAAACAATTAAAAGAATTCAGTAAAAATTAAAGTAAGCAAAGAATATTAAAAATATGCATAAAAGAAAGAGATTTACAACCGTTTCCATCTATAATATGTAGTACAGTGGTACCTTGAGCTACGAACTTAATTTGTTCCAGAAGGCTGTTCGAGTGCCGATACCAAATGAATTTGTTCCCATAAAGAATAATGTAAATTAGATTAGTCCATTTCAGACCCCCAAAAATACACTTACATAAGTACTTACAAAAATGCACTTACATAATTTTTCGAGTTGGGAGCTGTTCGAAACTCGAGGTACCACTGTACTGTAAATAGGTTTTAAATATGCAATAAGATAATTTTTAGGATGAGCACCACTATATTGCAATAACCTTTTTTTAAGGTAGTTATATATTCAACACATTTAACTTATCTTCTTCCTATACTAAATTTGGCCTGTGAAACACATTGACAAACTATGCATTTACAGTTGACAATATGTGCTGTATAGTAGTACTGTCAATTACAATTTATCATAATGAGTGTTAACAATGTACAGTATATACTATATTTAATAAATGAAAAACTGCTCTTAGTTTCACCTTCTCTCCTATCGCTGGAACAACGGACGAGGACACAACATTCGTCCCTTTCATCAGGCTCCTCATGACACTGTGGATCTCCTCTTAATGAACCAGCCCTATAAATATTAAATATGACTTTCACATAAATGATGCATCACAACCATGATACAGTGCAATATGTATTTAAAAAAAATTATCATTACAAATTAATAAGACTTGATTGACACTGATGAGAGACAATTGTTACTATTTATATGTTATGACACTGATGGCCCTGCCGCCAAGTTAAAAAATAAACAAGTACTACATGCTTTATGTAAAGAAATCAAGACCTACATGTGGCTGTGTTGATAGCACACTCAGCTCACATAATGAGTATCTGTGGTTTGATCCCCAGCAAGGGTAGAAATGTTGGGCATGTTTCCTTACACCTGCTGCCCCTGTTCACTTAGTGTCATAGGTTGCATCCTGAGTGACAAGCTTAAAGAACCCCAAATGAAATAAGATAGAAAGTCCCCAATGACACACTGACTTAATTGGGTTATCTTGGGTTGCTAACCCTCCGGGTTAAAAATCCAAGCAAAATTTAATCTTATCTCTCTTACCTCAAGTATGGCAAAGTGCAGCGTGCAAAACATCGGACAGAACCTGAAGCAGCACACATACATCTTTCTTCACATCCATTATAAAATTCTCCAACAGGATAAGAGGAGTTGCCATGTACACATCCAGCTGTAAGAAATATATACTGCACTAAAGATGAGTACAGATAGGCAGAATATCTCTCAACATTAACAGATGGATGACTGAGTGTTCACCCAAGTTAAAAGCTTCATGAAGTATAATATAAGGCATCTGGTACTTAAGACATGATCTACTACATACACTGAATCATTACAGTACTTCCTTGTCATTCTGTAACTTATTTGCAGTTTTGCCTATTCACAAGTAATTTTTTGTTTTTATTATTAACACATCGGCCGTTTCCCACCAAGGCAGGGTGGCTCGAAAAAGAAAAACTTTCATCATTCACTCCATCACTGTCTTGCCAGAGGTGTGCTTGCACTACAGTTATAAAACTGCAACATTAACACCCCTCCTTCAGAGTGCAGACACTGTACTTCCCATCTCCAGGACTCAAATCCAGCCTGCCGGTTTCCCTGAATCCCTTCATAAATGTTACTTTGCTCACACTCCAACAGCACGTCAAGTATTAAAAACCATTTGTCCCCATTCACTCCTATCAAATGTGCTCACGCATGCTTCCTGGAAGACCAAGCCCCTCGCACACAAATAAATTTATGTTGAACAAATGCCATTCATCATGAACAATTCTTCACATTTTCAATTCAGATTTTTTTTTTTTTACAGTTTAGAACTTGTTAAAACACTTCTTAATTCTTTATTATCTCCTCTGCATAAATTTACAAAATAGTTATTTAGTAAAGTACAAAGATACTGGATGGTGTTGAACAAAGCACTTGGAGAGATGCTGTCTTACTGTCTAATGGTAATTTCCCACTGTTTTATCCTATGTGTACCTTTCAAGAGGGTGATGATGCTTGTGAAGGGCTCTTGATCCAAGAAATGGAGCTATCCTCAACTTACCTCATAATTTGTAATATTTTAAAATAAAGAATTAAACTAAGTCTGCCCGAAATGCCTAGCCATGCTAGGCGTTCTAGTGGTACACTCTGTAATCATTATTTAACTATATGTAAACCACACAACAACCAAATTCTGTAAATTCAACATTGTAATCTTTATAGAGAATAAACTTTGAATTGAATTTCTTGGATCAAAACCAGTTACTGCACCTCACATTCTCCAGGAGCTGTACTGCCCATGCTATTGATCTTCAAAGAATTTTTCCATTATGCCTATTGGTATGCATTCAATTCACAATGTTTTTATACCAAGATATTCACCTTCTGTCCTGACATTAATTGTCTCAGTAGCCTCTCCCAAGCGACCCTCTTCCACATCATCATAGATGGAAACTCGAACCTGTGGAAAAATAACTGTAGAGATATTGCATATGTTTAACAAGCTATCTAGGAAAGACTATATGGTACATGAAGCCATATTTTTAAGAAATGAGAGATCCCAAAGGCAATAAAGCCAAAGAATGTGTCACAGAATAAAAATTACATTTCAGATCTGAAATTAATTACATCACATACCGCAAGAAGTACCGACTAGACCTAAAAAACAAATTTAAGCGTAATTAAGATATTATTAGGTACTATCACCTTTATACCTTTGATGGGTTTTAAGTTTTACTACTGCAGTCTAGCCCTGGGCTATGTTTGTCTAAGATCATTCCTTTAATAAAGATTAATGGATGGTTACTCAGGTGTTATTTCCCATGAGCAGCATTATGCATATCATTTTCTAAACTAAAATTAATAATGGTTTCCACATTATTAAGTGCAAACTTCCTCCTCCAGCAGCATCCAAGCGCATTTTCTCTTGCATACAGCACAAGTTAATTATTTTGCCATGAATATATTATTACTTTCGTTTTTCCTTTTGGGCCACCCCGCCTCAGTGGGATACGGCTGGTGTGTTTGAAAGAAAGAATATATTATTACTAAATGTAAAAGGAGAAACTTTCGTTTTTCCTTTTGGGCCACCCCGCCTCGGTGGGATATGGCTTGTGTGGTGAAAGGAAAGGAATATATTATTAATAGGATGAAACAGAGGGTGTATAAATTTGTAGTGGAGGGAAGGAGGGGAAAGGGGTCATCCTACGAAAGTTTAAAGAGAGAGAGGTAAAGGAGGTTTTGTGTGAGGAGCTTGGACATCTAACAGGCATGTGAGAGAATGTTAGATATGAATGGAAGCAAGTTTTTTTTTTTTTATGAACTAACATGCTGTTGAATTGTGAGCAAGGTAACATTTATGAAGGAATTCAGAGAAAGCAGTTAGTTAGACTTGAGCTCTGGAGATGGGAAGTAGAGTGGATGCACTCTGAAAGAAGGGTAAGAATATTACAGTTTGGAGGGGCATGAGCTGCAATGTCAACATGCCTCTGGCAAAACAGTGATAAAGTAAGCGACGATGAAAGCATTTCTCCTTTTCTAGCCACCCTACCTCAGAAGACAGCCAGTGTGTTAAAAAAAATAATGTCACATAACTACTGCTCAGTAGGTAGTAGGTTGGTAGACAACAACCATCTAGGGAGGTACTACCATCCTGCCAAGTGAGTGTAAAACGAAAGCCTGTAATTGTTTTACATGATGGTAGGATTGCTGGTGTCTTTTGTCTGTCTCATAAATATGCGAGATTACAGGTATGTCTTGCTACTTCTACTTACACTTAGGTCACACTACACATACATGTACAAGCATGTATATACACAACCCTCTGGGTTTTCTTCTATTTTCTTTCTAGTTCTTGTTCTTGTTTATTTCCTCTCATCTCTATGGGGAAGTGGAACAGAATTCTTCCTCCGTAAGCCATGCGTGTTGTAAGAGGTGACTAAAATGCCAGGAGCAAGGGGCTAGTAACCTCTTCCCCTGTATATATTACTAAATGTAAAAGGAGAAACTTTCATTTTTTCCTTTGGGCCACCCTGCCTCGGTGGGATACAGCCGGTTTGTTGAAAGAAGAAAAGAAGAACTACTGCTCACTCCTAGGATTTGCTAAGAAAACTATACTATTACAGCAGACTGCAAAGCCATTATTAAAAAAGAGAAAGATAGTTACAAGATCATCCAGCACTACAATATATAAATATACAGAAAGTACTGGTATATATATTATGCTGAAATTTCAAACATACCAAGACAAAACATTATTTCTTAATAATATAAAACATAATTATTGTCAGTATTAACACACTGATTTAAAAGTATATATCATGATAAACAATTAACCAGTAAATTTGAGATAAATCTTTGGACAACACTTAACCCTTTCAGGGTCCAGAGGCCAAATTTCAAAGTGCATACCAGTGTCCAAGAATTTTCAAAAAATAATTTTGTTAATTTTTCTTATGAAATGGTAGAGAATCTTTTTCTGAAGGTAATAAAACAAAAAGTACAAATTTGATGGAAAATTGACGAAATTATGCTCTCGTGAATTTTGATGTGTCGGCAATATTTACGCATCGGCGATTTTGGCGACTTTGACTCCCATTTTAGGAAATTACCTTATTCCAGTCGACCAAATTCTTAGCTAATGGCATTTCAATTAATTTAAATGAGGAAAGTTGACTCAGCATATGAACAGATCTGGTTACAAGCTAGGTCATGGAATGGATTAAACTTATAAGCAGAGGTTCCACTGTACAGTACACTACAGTATAAACATTTAAATATATACCAGAAATGTTATAAATGGTACAAAGGCGACACTACAACAATATCAAATATAGATGACACAAACCCACTACCATTATAGTATGCTCCTCAATTAGTGCCAACTTCGTTTACCGACATGGTCTTAGGAACGGAACTCTGTTGTTAAGTAAGGAGAGGCTGTATTGTACAAGAAAACAATTTTCACTTTTAAGTACAAGTACATTAATATTTTATTTTCATCATAAAAAACAGCTTTTACTGCAGGAACCATCAATATGAAAAACTGTTTACCTAGTAGTATCCAGGTAAAAAGCTTACCTCATAGAGTGTGTTAGGCTCAAGCCCTTTCACAGTAAGTTTGGGTGGAAGTTCCCCAGCTGGTACTTCTTTCCTCATCCATGGCTGTTCTACTGTGGTGCCTGTTGCTGTTGAAGAGTCGCCATGTTCCTTACGGTATTCGGCCACGTATCCACCTTCATAGGTCCTAGCTCTGTATGAACGTGTATTGCATTCAGAAATGAATAATGGGTAGGATGTTCATGCAAGTAAAAAAAACATTTTTATAAGTGGCATACTGTACAGTATGCAATTAGGATAACTGACATGTGTAGAAAGCCCCTTGTTATGCAAGGCATTTTGGGCAGCCTTAAAACTATATGAACATACGTATGTGATTTCCAAATTTGCCAACAGCAGAGTGAATTCTCATTGATTATTATAATTAAAAAGAAGCGCTAAGCCACAAGGGCTATACAGCGCTGCGAATTCTCATTGAGATACACATAAACTGATTATTTTATTATAATTTTGCACACTACAGTGTAGATACCAGAAGATTAATTATTTATTAGGTTAGGATAGGTTATTTTGAGTTTGGCTAGGTTAAGTTTAAAATTCTCTCAAATAAAAGGACCTAGATTCAAGAATAATAATAATAATAATAATAATAATAATAATAATAATAATAATTTATTATTATTATTATTATTATTAGGTATGTTGCTGAGAATGCTACAGGGATTACCTGAAGTCATCCCAGGCAAGAGTGACAGAGTTATGAGTCTTAGCTGTTACTAAGAGCTTGGGCAAGCCTGCATTTGTCGGGGCAGTTGTTGTTGTTTGGAAATCTGGGGTAATTCCTGCAAAAATACCTTGAATTACTTATAAAATATCTGAAACTTTGAATTTTGCAGCAACTTTGTACAGTGTGATAGTACTTCTGATATAAAAACACAATAGTAGATATTTAAAAATACAGTAAATATTGTAAAATATAATACGTATTTACAGAATGTGAGTTATTTGAGAAATCCAGTCAGTGATATTTCCTCAACATTTTAACAGTTTAACCTGTCTCACCCAACCTGTCCGAAATGTTTAGGCAGTCTCCCCGAAATACATTGTAACCTTTGCAAAGAAATAAAAAACTGAATTTGAATTTTTTTTCGCCAATGAATAAACCTTACGGGATTACACTTATCATAAATACACCATAATAATATTTTAAAGCCATCAAAGCCACAGAAGAAGTTTCCAATAAGAGCAAGGTATATTTAGTAGCAAAACAATACCAAGATACAAAACCACAGTATGTATGAAGACTAGCTACTTCACTCACTATGCTATGGTACACAATCATATTACATTCCTTTCACGACACTTGAAGAGATTTCATAAAAAAAACAGACTGGCAAGAAAACGATATAAGGATAAATAAGCATTTCATTTACACCTTTTTGTCACGAAGAGCTAGAGATAACAGTATTAATATTTATGTTAAAAATTATTACTCTAACATTGTAATTTTGCATTTTTATGAATACATACAATAATACTAACTTTCAGCTGGTAATATAAAGACAAACATTATCTGAAGATGTAATTCATTGGAGGCCGGTGAGGCCTCCAATGAATTACATCTATCCTTTTCCTTGGATCGAACCTGAATGATTGCCTCCCAGTCCTACCAAACAATGTATGATCCCTACGGGTTTAGCATTCCCCTATTAACGTAATAATTCACTTTTCCTTGGATCAAGCATGATTACCTCCCACTGTGCAGGCATTGTATAACCCTGGCAGGTCTGGCACTTCCCCATGAATAAAAATTAAAACACACGAGATCCTCAGGCTGGGATGTAAACAACTCAAACTGAATGACCTCATTGGGTTATTATCTAATGGTCATAATCATAATCAGAATAATAATAATAGAGCTTTTCTTTGTCAGAGGAAAGAAAGTCTCCCTGATAACATTGTGTATACATAGTGTATAGTGTATACTACAGTGGCTCCCTAGTATATAGATGATAAAGGCTAAAGTGTCATTTGAAAACAGGTGAATTTGTAAATGAAGTGATAAGCCTATAGAGGCAGGTGCCAGAAGTCGCCAGAATCTTACCACAGTGGTCAACTGTTTTAATAATCTTCCTGGCCTGTTAGTGTACTTGCATATAATCTAGTGATACCAGTGAATAGCAGAATACAGTGCTGTAGTAGCAACTAACCAGTATTATAATGGTACTTAGTGGAGTGGAGTGACTTTCATTAGTTTCTTTTTTCTTGAAATACCAGACGTATACTGTGAATTTCATATAACCTGTAGTTACCAGCGGTCGCAATATATACAACGAGAAGCAATTATTACTACAGAAAAAGCGCCCTTCCTCCAAAATTTCCACCAGTCAACTATAGTGATAATATAGCATTTATTGTGGTGGAGACGAAAAAAAAACTAGAAAAGCTAGATACAGCGATTGATAAACAAGGGTTGAGGCTCGACCGTTCGTCATTGTAGGAGCTGCCAGAAATCACCGGTTTCTTCAACACGCAAGTTATACTTTTGTATCAATCAAATCACATATTACTCGGGTAGATAATTTCCAGTAGATCCTTCATGTGTTAGCCCAAATCACCGACCAGTATGTTTTAAATAAGTGACCCACTGATCAGATCAGATCGACTGGTCCGAACCCTCGACTGGTCCAAACCCTTGACTGGTCCGAACCCTTGACTGGTCCGAACCCTTGACTGGTCCGAACCCTTGACTGGTCCGAACCCTTGACTGGTCCGAACCCTCGACTGGTCCAAACCCTCGACTGGTCCGAACCCTCGACTGGTCCGAACCCTTGACTGGTCCGAACCCTTGACTGGTCCGAACCCTTGACTGGTCCGAACCCTTGACTGGTCCGAACCCTTGATAGGTCCGAACCCTTGACTGGTCCGAACCCTCGACTGGTCCGAACCCTCGACTGGTCCGAACCTTTGACTGGTCCGAACCCTTGACTGGTCCAAACCCTTGACTGGTCCAAACCCTTGACTGGTCCGAATCCTTGACTGGTTTCAAACGGATTCGTTGGACAATAAAGCAGACTGTAAACGGATGGGGTTGTAGGCGCCCTTATCAAACACAAACAACAAATATAAATCAGGAACGTACACGGTAAGCTGTCCAATATACAAGTACAGTTAGAAATAGAAATACAAATAGCTAGAGCTTCATTTAAGGAGGTTATTAATAGAATATTCAAGAGGTTGCTAGTAGAATTACAGTAAATCAACCATTCAAATCATTATGAAGCTCTGTGTAGTCTGCGGTCAATCAAACAAACAGGCTTCCACATGAATAAATTGTAATTTTTGTGGAAATTGGTGTCACGCCCCTTGTGCAGATATCCAAGAACTATCTACAAGCAGTATTAAAACAGGGAAGTGTTTTTGGGTATGCCCAAATGAGATAAATCTGTGGACTAAAATCACAAGGGTATTAAAAGAGGATAACATCAAAGCTGCTTTCATAGAAAACCTGGAAGCTTTCTACAACAGATGGGAACATAAAAAGTCTGGGCTGAATGGTACTGCCCTTGATACTGGCCATGTAGTCAGAAACTGTAAGGCAGGAGGTGATGTCCTGGTAGTCAGTAAATGTGGGGCTAATAGTGCTGTCCTGGGAGACAGTAATGGTGAAGCTGGAGATGCTGTCCTGGGAGACAGTAATGGTGAAGCTGGAGGTGCTGTCCTGGGAGACAGTAATGGTGAAGCTGGAGGTGCTGTCCTGGGAGACAGTAATAGTGAAGCTGGAGATTTTGTCCAGGTAGTCGGGAATTATACGCAGGAAGGAATACATATAAATGACCTCATAGGGGACAGGAGCCGTAGTAGGGAAACAAGTGTAGTCAAAGATAAGATAAAACCAATATTGCAAACTAGAAATACACAGGAAATAGCAAACAAGAGGACTCCACTAGCAATATGAGGATAATTACCAAAAACAACTGGTGGGGGCTCCATTGTTGGTGCTAGGGAGGATAGGAATAAGACAGGGAAACATGCACCAACAGGGAATACAGTCACAGAAACTCAAGGCAAACGGAAACCAAGCCTGTGCACATACTATGCACTTGGTATCTGTAGGCATGGGAAATCTGGAAAAACAGACGGGACGTGCAACTATGACCACCCTAGAAAATGCCATGCCCATATGACAACAGGAAAATGCAAACTCCCTTCCTGTAAGCTTTTTCACCCTGAACTGTGTACCTCTTCAGTACAGGAAAGACTGTGCTATAACTTAAATTGCCAGGCACACCATCTAAAGGGGACAAAAGATACAAAACATCCAGGCCATGGGAAAACCTGGGTAGCCAGAGCCACTCAAGAGGGAGAGGTCTTTTAGTGCCAGGAAGGAAAAAAAACTGGCAGGAAATGGCAGAAATCGTACACCAAATCCAGTCATTCCTGGAGTGGAACCACAGTCGATGGCCTCCACTCCAAACCAACGGATACAGATACCAATGCCGGAAAAAATCCCCCCCCCCAGTACCAACAATACCACCAGTCCGATGACATTCTTCTTTGCAAATATACAGGGTCTAAAGCCAGCAACAAACAAAATACCTTTCATCCGTGGACTGCTTGCAGAGGCAAAGGCAATGTTCGCGGCTTTCACTGAGACCCACATAAAGGATCACTTGGACAACGAAATATGGATCCCAGGTTACAACCTATACAAATGTGACAGAGTGAACAGGCAAAAGGGGGGGGGGTTGGCCTGTACATTGCAGAGTCACTTGTTTGCACAGAACTGCTTAATGCCTCAAATGACGTAGTGGAAGTTTTAGCAGTAAAGGTCGAGAATCAAAACCTAGTCATTGTGGTAGTCTACAAGCCTCCGGATGCAACATCCCAGCAATTCCAGGAACAGCTGTTAAAAATTGACCACTGTCTGGAAAATCTTCCAGCTCCTGCACCCAACATCTTGCTCCTGGGGGATTTCAACTTAAGGCACCCAAAATGGAGGAATATAGCAAATAATATTGTTGCAGTAATAACACCAGGAGGCAGCTCTGATGAAAACTCACACTCACACGAGCTTTTAAATCTGCTACAAAAATTCAATTTAAACCAGCAAATAATAGAGCCTACTAGACTGGAGAATACACTAGACCTCATCTTCACTAACAATGATGATCTGATAAGAAATGTCACCATATCAAAAACCATATACTCAGATCACAACACAATTGAGGTTCAGACATGTATGCGTGGAGCCCTAGACCGACATAATGAGACTAGTCACGAGGGAGCATTCACCAAATTCAACTTCAATAACAAAAACATAAAGTGGGACCAAGTAAACCAAATCCTAACCGATATAAGCTGGAAGATATACTAAGTAACACAGACCCCAACTTATGCCTAGAACAGATTAACTTGGTGGCACTCGATGTATTCACAAGGCTTATTCCTCTAAGAAAAAGGAGGAGTAGATGTAAAATAGAAAGAGACAGGCGCTCCCTTTACAGGCGACGGAAAAGAATAACAGAGCGGCTAAAAGAGGTCAATATATCTGAAATGCGTAGGGAGACACTGGTCAGAGAAATAGCAAGCATCGAACTTAAGCTAAAGGAATCTTATAGGAGACAGGAATCGCGGGAAGAACTAAAAGCCATAAATGAAATCGAAAGAAACCCAAAGTATTTCTTCTCCTATGCCAAATCAAAGTCGAGAACAACGACCAGTATTGGGCCCCTACTTAAACAAGATGGGTCCTACACAGATGACAGCAAGGAAATGAGTGAGCTACTCAAGTCCCAATATGACTCAGTTTTTAGCAAGCCGCTAACCAGACTGAGAGTCG